AACGAGTTTTCACAAGTCATTGCTATAATGAATTGATTTCTACCCTACCTCATCTCAGCTGTACCATTATTCTTCTATTGCTCATTCTTATCTTCAATCTCAATTATTTTTCTCAATAATTTTAAATTAATGACTATGTTGATGGTTATAACTTCAATTTTGTATGTTTTTATGGATATTTTTCCAATGTTTTTTTTGTTAGTTTATGTTATACTTATTAATCTTGTTTTTTCCCCATTTAGGAAATCAATATTGAAATCTTCTTGTTACAAATTAGAAGGTTTTACTTCATTATCATCATCAGATGCAATGTTAATACAAAATAAGGCATCTACATTATACTTCAAATTTTTTTTTCTGAAATCTTTTTTATCATTAGTCTCTAATTGTATATGATATAAATCAACAAGTTACTATGGTACTCAACTGGTATTTTCTTAATGAATTTGATTGTATGTATTTCTATTTTGATCACAACTAGATGACAAACATATAAGCCTGGATATTTTAACATAAAACCATCGTTGTTCTGAAGTGTAAACCAAACTGGAGTATAATGACCAAACTGAATATATCATTGAACAAAATTTGAAAAAAGTTGAGTATAATTACAATTTGGATAATTTGTTTTAACCAATAAATATTAAAATTGCCCGGAGACATTTTGCATTTATATTTATAACATCGACCATCTGATGATACTGTTAGGGGAGTAGATATTTTAGATACCACTTATATTAAGAAAAGCATAGGCAGACCTATAGGGAGAAGTTGAACAAATTCAGTAGTATGAGGTTGGAGTTCTATTTAAGAAAATTTTCTCATCAAAGTCAAAACCAACTACTCGTTACTGAACTTTTTTTTCTTTGCTTTGCTAAAGGTGTTTTGCACTGAGGTAGCTTGTTTCTCTAAAATCAAATATGTGCAGCGCACCACATATAATATCCAATACTCATGTTTTCTTTTCTCCATCATTTTTGTTATCAGCCTTATAAGTTCTAAATTATCTGTAATAGCTTGAACCATTAGCCCCTCTCTAATCTCCTCCATAACTCCATAAAGTTCAAAAATGTACTTCACATTCTTGACCTTATCTATTGCTTTAACATATTTTAAGAAACTAGTGCTGTAGGCATTGTTAATCAAAATATTGATGAAGCTTCTATTATTGATATCCGACCAATCATTAGACATTATTGCTACTCTATTTTGATTCCAGCTTCTCTTAATTTCGACAATGATTTTTTCTGTGTTATTGTGCCTTTCTTTAAAAATCCAACTTCTCAAATCATGCATAAATGGTGGTTTCAGGTCTTGACCATAGTAATTTATGGAGCTTATTATGTCAAAACAAGAATGGAAGGTTACCATATTAAATGTAATGATATTTTCATAAAAGAACTTCCAATGTCCGCATAGACTTGCATGTGTGCCTCTAGCACCTTCAAGAGACATTTTACAGGCAATTCTCACATCATCTTTGTTTTCCTCTGCATTCATCATGTATTAATTTATAGGCTTCTTGTTTCTTTACGTGATTCTGTGGCAAAAAGATGATGGATCTCAGCTAGTAGCCCCACTTTCATGATAGTTTATTTCACTAACCTGTATATGGGCTGACCGTCATGGAAATCTCCAGTTACTTCATTTGATGTCAAATTGACTAGTGGTTTCAACCGTCTTTGCTCTAAGTGTCACCATTATGATTGATTGACAGCAGAAATTTGAGACAAAGATTGATGTTGTATCAGGATGGAAAAAAAACCTGAAGATGAAATTATATTGAGGCTTTGGTTGCTATTGTCAAAAACTATGATTGCTAGAGTTGAAGACCATGGTTGTTTTTGTGTTCACAATAATGAAAGCTGCAGCTGTCGGAGTTGAAGGAGAAATGCACACAACTATGAAGGCTATAATAAAAGTTAGAAACCTAGAAAAACTGTCCATAGGGCTCTAATATCATGCTTTGAATGGTGTCCTAGAAAAAGAACATATCTTATATACTCAAATTAGTTGATACATGACAATATATGGACTCTCGTCTTGGAAAAGAAAAATTAAAATTCCAGTTCAAAAGAGAGAAAAAAATTTCTTCTAACTAAAGTTGGCGATGTTTTTTTTTTTGGGTTGAAAATATACAATCTAATTTGTATTCTTAGCTTCTTATTGTTGCGCTTGTGAATGCCAATGATGTTTAGGATTATTGTTCTAGTGCCCGTGCACATCAATGGTTGTGAATATATCTAAGCTTAAAGAGGAATTGGGACGAGTTCAGTTTTGGCCAAATGTTGGAAACTTCCAAATAATATTTTTGTTTGCTTGTGAAGGAAATCATATCGTGCAAAGATTTATTGATTGAATACCCAAAATTTCAAAACTAGGTTCAGGCTGGATTTTTTTTTTCGGGAAAAATTGTAATTTAGAAAGATAAACATAAGTTAAAGTAAATAATGTATATTTGCTTGTAAAAATGTGCTTAATTTTTTGATTGTGAAAAACAGGCCTAGCTGATCTTCTCACATAGTTATTGTACTATTTTTATTTAATATTGTTCGCAATCCTATGCCGCTACAGCACTTTGAGCTACCTCTGATATCATCAATAAGCCATTTTCAGAAATAGATTTTGAGATTTAGAAAATAGACAACTTAATTAGTAATACACAAAAATTGAATTTATGCAACGTAATTTTGTTTGTGTGTTTTGTTAATAATTATTTTCCATTATTATTAAAGGATGGTATGCTACATAAGTGTGATAGATTTAATTATATTAGATCTATTATATTAAAAAATAAGATGTAGATGGAGGTGTAATTTCCTGAGTTATCACTAGACGGTTAAATGATTATTTCCTTAGCAACTTTTTGTCAATAAAATGATATAACTGAGATTGAGAGCTAAATTTAATAAAATTATATTTAGGTTAGCGATGTTATTGGATTCAATTATTAGGTGATAAAAAAGTTTTTTATATATAAATTGAGTGCAACAAAAATCAAATTGTAAAGATGAATGTTTGGCAAAAATAATAAGGATAAATTAATTATAATTATATTAAAAGACTGATTGAAATGACATCAATTGAGGAAACTGAAAATAAATTTGGTGATTTGGACATATGTAATGAAGAGCGAAAATCCTCCAATGTGATGAGCAGATAAAGTTAGTGTTGGGGGAACTAGGAAGGAGCAAGGGATAAACTTAGGTTGTTACATGAATGGAAGTTTAAATTAATTTGTGAAGAATTGATTTAATCTTTTAGACATCACTAAATCTAAAAATATAAAAAATAATAATTCACAAAGCTAACTCACAATATTTGGGAAGAGAAGAATGATGATTTCTCATTTCTTATTTCTTGTATTAAATATAATATAGTTGAAATAGCGCATCATTTTTCCCTTCAACTTTCTATTGCCTGAAACCAAACTTGCTCGTGAGTATCAATATTTTTTGATTTTGTGGAAGCCATTGAGACATTGCAAGGTGAACATAAGATTTTTATTTTTTTATATTTGCATATGATCTATGCGATTGACATTTTTTGAATGCCCTGTACAAATTGCCTCCAATGGTTTGCTTCTTTGGACTGCAAAGGTTGTTAAAAACATCTTTAATAATAACAAAATATTGATTCCATACTCTTCTTTCTTGAATTACTGTTCATTGTTCTAAGGATTTGCAAGCATTTTATCGTGATTCCCTTGCATTTGTTGTGCTGATGCTATAGGCCATTTGGTGTAGATGGGACCACTTCTCAAATTGAGATATTTTGCTATATGGTTTATGATATAATTTTAATTTATAAAGTATCTCCTGAAATAAATGAAAAATTAGAACGACTGCGGAAATAATTATAAGATGAAGGATTTAAAATTAACAGAATAAAATTGAGTATATGCTATGTAATTTTAGTGAGTTTGATATTGTTATAAAATATTGCAATACTTTGTTTTGATGTATTTAAACATCTTAAATCTATTATGTCAAAGAATGATGATGTAACTTTTAGAATTTAAGTTTAGATAAGAGAATTTTGTGTAGACTTGAAGTTAAATTCTATAAAACTACAACTAGTTTGATTATGTTTATGGATTTGAATGTTGGGTTGAAAGAATTGTGGATATCTAAGTCGGCAGTGAAAAAAATGCAAATATTGGAATGGATGTGTTAAAAAATTAGAAACGACAAATTAAAGAATGATTATATTAGAGAGATAGTTCGAGTGATATTTAGTGAATATAAGCTAATTGAAAATATGGTTAGGTGATTTGGACATGTGCAAGGATAAGTACATATAAATTAGATAATTAAATAAAATTAGTATTAGATGAATATGAAGGACAAGATATTGGCAGAAATTTTAAAATAATTTACAAAGAATAAGTGGAACTACTCAGACAATTTAATATGAATGTTTAGAAAATGAGGATTCCTAAAAGCAATCCTAAGTAGTTGGGACAAGTTAATGATGTGCATCAGAAGTTGGGTCTATAGTGTGGTCTTTTATCTTCAACATTCAAGGCATTAATTTTTTTATATAGATTGAGATGGATCAAATATGTTAAACTTGTGAGCTGCTATAATATCTTCATTTTAAGAAGTATTTTTTTTTCCAATTTTTAAAACTCAAATTGTTATGATTGCTTTAAATTTTGTAGAATAAATTGTTAATAATATATAAATTTATAGGGGGATTATTGACAACTTGCTTATCATCAATTCCATTATATGAATAATCTGTGTGAGTGATGCCTTGATAGATGGTTACAATCGAAGTTTGATCTTCTTGTTTTTTATGGAGAACATAACTGTCTCAGCTACCAACATTTAGCTGCTATTTTAGGTATTGTTTGAAGAACCTTTGCATGATTTTATGCATAAAGTGTTACAAGGTTGCATCCCTCTCCTTCTACACCCACACACATGTTAAGCTATAATTTATTTTTATTTCATCTATTTATTTTATCTTCTTTTTTTTTTTTTTGGTGGTTTCAGGCTTCCAGTACGTTGGGATAAGACTGTCATAGTTGTGATGGACGATGTTCGAGTGAACTGTCCGTATTTCCCTGAAAATGTTAGCGGAGGGACACCGCCTGCTAATGAGAGGGTCAAGAAAGTGGTCAGTCCCTTTACATGGCATATTTACTTCTCAACAATATCATTTCATAAAATATTTTCCCTGATTTTTCGTTTGATTATTACACTTGATATATTCAAAGTTTTGCTTGTCCTAGCGATCATGAACTTTTATGTTGGTATTCAGCGTTTATTTTTACTAGTGAATTTTCAGTTTATGAATAATTCGAACATGCATTTTTTGCTTAATTTATTTTCCGCTAATCTTTTATTAAATGTTCCTTAAACTCGAGCATTTAATTGATTAAGATAATCACTTTGTTTTGTTTCTGTGATTATGAAGCTGGAACTTGAGAGGAGAAGATTACAAGCTCGTTCATCAGCTTAGATTTCTTGATCCACTTACCAGCACATTGTAAGAGTGGCCGGCTTGCATAGCATCTAGCTGTATTTTAGATTTAACATTCTACGTTTTGGATTGCAAATATGCTCTAGTATGTAATTTTGTGAGAATTTCTGTAGCTTCTAGAAAAATGTTTATCAGATTTGAAGAATCTGCTTTATATTTTTGTTTTGCTAGTTCTTTTTTTTTTTCATGTATTGTGATGGAATAAGGTGTATATTAAAATGACTTCAAGGTAATCCTTGTTAACTAATAAGGTCCTCTTTGAGATTACTTTCTGTTTTATGTTATTTTTTTTTGAAAACAACAAACAGAAAATAAACCAAAAAATGTTTGTTTATTTTTTTTTATTTTTATTTTTTAATTTTATTTTTAAAACACATCAGACTTATTTTCAAAACATCTAAAACGTAAAACTTGTATTTTTGCTGTTTTAAAAGCATATTTTTTCTTAGATTGCCTATCCAAGGCTTCACCGCCCGTTGTTGGTCGCAGCACGTTGCCAACCGCTTTTTGCTAGGCACCTTTTGCTTGCCCTCTGTCGCATGCTGCCGCCTGCCTATAGCTGTTGACCGTCGTCGCTTGCCGCTATCGACCCCTGCCAACCACATTTGTTGCCTGGTGCAGGCCGCAGCCGCAGTCGGCCCCTTGTCAATTGTTGCCCATCTGCGCAATAGACGGCCCTTGCCGGCCGCTGCCCGCTGCTGCCCGCCGCCGGTCTCCACTGGCCTTCATTGGCCCTCGCTGCATACCGTAGCCAACATTGCCATCTGACGGCAGGCAGGCCCCGACCACGAGCCTTGGTGGAAGTTCCAAGCTCTCGTTGCTGTCGTTGGACCCTGCCAATTACAACCCCCGCTCGGCTCTGCTCACCCGACTACCCCCGGCAGATATAGCCTCCGGCTTGCACCCGCCGCTCGCCGCTCGCCCACAAGTAATATTGTGCTGGGCAGAACAAAGAAGACGTCGTATATGCCATGATCGTCAGAAAAATAAATTTTTCATAAAAAAAATTTAAAATATTCAATTAAACATATTTTATGTTTTTAATTTTTAAAATGTTATAAAACATGAAAGTATCAAATACATTTTTTTAAAAATAATTAAAAATAATAAATAAAACAAAAAAATTAAATAAACTAAAAATAAAAATAAAAATAGATTCAAAAAATGATCCTTATCTATTTGATCAATTTTACGCATATCTCTACTGTCATGAAGGTTGCTTCTATTTAGAAGTGTACATGGAAGTCATATTGTATATCTTGGGTAGTTGGGAATGAGTTAATGATATTGATTGTCATAAGATTTCTTGTTATTAGCATTCATCGCTTTCTTTTGGGCATTTTGGGTGGAGAGCTGGAAATAGTTGAATGCCAGAAATGTTGGATTCAACAAATTAAAATCATCAGTCGCTTAGTTTGATCAGTCCTTTTAGTCAAGTGAACTGATGCATGCTCTCATTGTACTTGATATGTGAAATGTAAGGATTAGGATTAAAAAACTATGTAATAAGAGCAGGAAATGATAGGCAAGGATGGGTGATGGAAAAATATCTTGATGGTGAAGCAACGACTACTTTGACGAGTGAATTTTAGTTAAATATTTAAAGATTTTATTTGCCTTGTAAGGCTAGTGGGTGTTATCAAGGATGCAGGGTAAGTTATAGGTACAGTTGGGAAGAGTTGATCAGGTTAAGTTGATGTAAATTCAGGGATTGTAAAGAATTATTTTAAAAGAGAAGTGAGGAAGATTGTCTCGTTCTTCCCAAGTTTGATGTATGATATGGGTGATTAGCTCACTCATTTTCTCAAAAAGAGAGGAGAATGAGAGATTAGGAAGATGGAAACCTAATATTAAAGATTGTTAATTCTTCTTATAATAGGAAGGAGATCGGGCATTAAATGTTGATGGTTGTTTGACAACAACTTTTTGGGATTAGATTTTCTTCATTGGTTTGCATCGATTCACAATCAATAAAAAACATCAAAAGTTTTATAAATGGTCACTTGTTGGCTCAGTTATTTTTCTTATAGGATGATTTGCATCAAATTTTAGTGGTCAATAAACCTTAAACATCATTGTTGGCAAGCATTAGATGAGAATCATTACGAAACGTTGATGTTAAGTGATGTGCGTAATTGACTTGGTTTCCCCCCTCCTAATATTGAGAGGAAATTGGAGAATTGAAAAAATGGGCCTCAAAACATCAATTACATGGATATCTAATATCGATCGTAATATGAGAGATAATCGGATTACTATTAATATGGACATCAACACCTATGATAAATGGACGTCAAACATTAATCATTAATAAGAAATGAGCAATGATTGACCAAGAATATGGGAAGTTAAGTAATATTGCCTATTGGCTTGGTTATTCTTCTAGTAAAATGAGAACATGTGATTTGAAAGGTGGCGCATGATGGAAAATGTGGGCATCTAGGATTGAATGATAGATATCTATGATGGTTCAAATTTAATTTCAACAAGGGTTGATGGAAGGTTTTAGAATAGACTGTTAGTGCTATGTGATGATAATGATTAGTGGCAACGTTAATTGATGCCAAGTTTCGGTATCAAGAGAAGGTGGTGTTAGACAATGGGAATGGCGTGTACTAATATTGGTTGATTGTGGTTGTCATGATAAGTGTGGGTGGTGTCTGCATCAAACAATGACGTTATCAAATGCCGAGAATGTTTGACATTTGTTGTTGGACTATGGTGATGATTAACAAAGATTGGTAGACTTTAAAGTTAATTGACGATTAATGTTAATGTCGATCAACTATCGCTGTCATGTTGTAAATTTATTTATATTTTTTGGGGGTAAATTTCAAATAACAAAATTATTAATTTATTTATGTAACTATTTATTCGATATGCTATTCTATTTATACTTCTAATAAAATATATAACTTTTAAACTGCATTAGATATTAAAAATGGAAAAACATAGATGAGTCATCACATAAATAATCATTATCTTAGTAAAGGAGTACATGATGTAACTTTTAACGAGATATTTGCTAAATAAGAAATGAAATTATTCATGAACATAAATTAATGAGTATATGAATGTTCAAATTGATTTAAGCTCCTAAAAAAAATGAATTTTACTGAAATGGATGTTGTTTTGTTTATTATGAGCATTAATTCTAGTATGGATGAAGGCTATGCTTGAATGTTTTGTAGCAAACCATGGTATTTTGAGGATGCCTAAATCAAAGTGTTAAAATGGACACCAAAATTTGATCCAACTTTAGAACCACATATTATTCCAAATTGGATTACTTTCTAGGTTTGAGGCTTCACTATTTTTATCAACAAGTTCTTTACTCACTATGAGCTATCTTTGGTAATCTATGAAGGCTCACTTTTAAGTATACCCTCTGTTGCTTGGGTCATGGTAGAAAGTACTATCACTTAATACCTACTTGAAGAGGTTTTGATTGGCACATAAAACAATGATTAAGGGAAAATGATTGTAGTGGAGTATAAACCAAAGTATTATAACAAATGTAGATTTTTTAGTCATAACTTGGAGACTTGCTTTATAGCACATCCAAAATTAAGAATTCAAAAAGGGATTTTAAGACAAACAATAAAACATAACATAGAAATCTATCCAATAAAGTTTTGGATGAGCAAGTCTTGAACCAATAATTATAAAGTTTTGCTTAGGAAGATTCAAATGATTCTGAAATCTATAAAAGGGGGATTGCAGTTGTGAACCCATCACTGTGCCTGATGATGCTATGTTAACTCATCCACACAAATTTATTGTACAAGACACTATTTTGGAGGACAAATGACAGCCGGTGGAAAACTCACTGATTGGAAATATTTTGCCCATACAAGCAAAGCCAACTGTAGAGACAGATGTGAGATTTAATGAAAATCTTGATGGAATGGCTCAATATGATCATACTTAGCTGCTTCATTTTGATACTAAATTCCTATTAATGTCAGAGGACATAGAAACTTCTAGAGAATCACTGGAGAATGATTGACAAGTTCAAAAATCTAGGAAAAATAAAGGTAAAAGGAATGAGAAACTAAGCCACATGGATCCAAATGCCATTATGCATCCGGGTGGGCTATCCTCTATTGGTATATTGGCAAATATTGATGATGGGGCTCCTTCTAGAACTACTACAATGAGTAGATCCATTACATATGACTAACTTTCTCATTTGGAGTGTTAGAGACATTGCCAAGAAGAATGTCTCTAATAGCTTTGTGAAAGATTGCAGTTCACCATTAAGTTGTTTTGTACTTCTTTAACCTATGATACAAGTTGAAAATATTCCAAAAACTATAAGAGCTGGGAAAGTTTAACCATATTTATAATTGTAATATAAATATTTGGTTCCTATGAAAAATAATGTTACAAATAGACTCTTTGAAGATAATCAACAATTCCTCCATTTAGAAATTCAGGTGTTTGATCATAGTATTAATACTACTGTAATATATTTTGGTTGTTCTCCTGTTAAGAGGAACCTCCTGTGGAATGAAATGGGTTCTCTCAGGCTCATGTTGATAACCATTAGATTCTTGGAGGGGATTTCAATGTTATTACTTCTCTTGCTAAAACGAGAGGGGCAAACTTACTTATTTCAAAGTGATAGAATAATTTACTGATAATATTGCTAGAACTGGTCTATTTTACTGACAACCTCTTCTCCAAGAATAGAGGAGGGATTTTTGAAATACTTCACATAATTTTAATTAATCAAATTTGGTTTGAAACATTCCATTAATCCGAGGTAGACCACTTGAGCAAGACAGTATTTGTCCATGCCCCACTACTGTTTAAGATAGACTCTATTCCAAACCAGTCAAAAATCAGTTCAAATTTTTTAATGTTGGGGTCTCCCATGAGAATTTTTTGGAAACTGTAAAAACCAACTGGAATTTGGATTATTATTCTTCTCCTTGAATATCTCTATGGTTGTTACAAAAAAAATATGGCTGCACATTTGCAGAAGTGGAATTGGGAGGTTTTTGGAAACATTGACAAGAAGGTTGTTGATGATAAAATTTTCATCAATAAAATGGAATATGCTTTTAACAAAGATGAATCCTATGAAGTGGATGAAATTATTGCTCAAAAGCTTTAGTATAGTCCAACAAACCTCCTCAAAGTGTTGGTTTGAGCTAGTGTAAGGGCTAGGTATGGTTTCGACCAACATGTGATGCAGCCTTGGTCTTGGAGTGGGTTAGAGTGCTTAATATAGTGGGGTTTTGA